GGACAGGACAAGAAGTAACAAATAGAAATTTGTGAAAGAGAGATTAATGCTAGGCAGTTAAATTTGACAATGTTTAATTTTTCTAGGTTCATGCCACCTGATGATCCATTGGGACGCCATGGCCCTAGTCTTGAAAACTTCTTAAGGAAAAAGCCAGTTATTCCAGAACACAAAAAGCAACCGTGCCCTTATGGTGAGTAGGTTACAAGAGGGATTTGGAGAAACTTGGTCTCACATTCTCTTATTGTTGGCTGGGAAATTCTAGGAGTTGAAGTCCGTAAGTCTTTAAGTTACCAGGTTTGGAGATCCGTGCTCTAAAGGCTTGTGGAATACTTTCAGACTACATAGCCAGCATATATTTAAATTGGTAATTTGTAGTCCTCTGAATCTCTGGAAGACTCCATGTTGGGGAAGATTAAAATAAGGAATCAACATATTGAATAATTATATTATTATTATTATATTATTATTTTGCACCCCATAATGGTAGTAAATTAGTACTGCTTTGAAGAAAATACAATTTAAATTTATTGGCTAATCAAGAATTTACTCTGAATTTTTAAAATTGGGAGACAGCATAGAAATACTATTTCTCTAATTTATACCACCTGATCCATTGGATAATGTCAACATGATCTTTGAAAGACTTAGTTTTTCTGCTCTCTCTTGCCTGTGGGGTTTCAATTATATATACAGCCAAGAAATTCATTTTGTTTAGGATCTAATCTGGCTTGGTCACCGGGACCAGAGGTTTTGTTTTCTGAGCTTTCGGACTCATGCTGGAACCCATGCACAGGGAACTTCTCTGTACAGAGTGTGTGCTGTTCTGTGTGTAGTATAGTACCTGTTGTAAGTTGGCTGTTTGGGGTGTGTTGATGGCTGGCTTTTAAGTCACTGGCTGCTGTTTCCTTGTGCTGCCCAACCCTCGCCTTGTAAGTACTTGATAGGCTGGTGATAAATCAATACTCCCGTTGACTGATGAGGAGCCTGTTTCTCCGGCTTCCGTCACTTCCCTGGCTGCTTTTGTGCACACACTCTGCTAGAGAGAAGTTCCCTGAAGTGGACATTAAAAGACTAAATGAGATGCTTTCCATCTCATTTTGAGTGAACATTTAAATGAATGTATTTATTTGTGGAGCCTGCTCTAGCTTCCTTCATGGAGCATTGTCACTCGAATTAAAACCTTGACAAGAATTTGCATCTGTTAATAAGGAAAATTCTGAACATCATGATGTAAGAAAATACCAATGTCTTATTTTATGTTTTTGTGGTAAGAGCAAAAGATTTCACTAGGGTTATCCAGTTAAGACATATAGTTGGCAAAGAACATGCCTAATCAGAGAGGATTTTTTTCCCCCCAGGGAAAAAATGCACATATGGGCACAAATGTAAATATTACCACCCTGAACGGACAAACCAGCCCTTGAGATCTGTCGCAGATGAGCTTCGCATCAGTGCAAAATTATCTGCGGTGAAAACCATGAGTGAAGGTGCCTTGGCCAAATGTGGTTCAGGGCCAGCCTTTTGCAAAGGGGGTGAGAACATTTCAGAAGTGAAGCGCAATCCTCCGAAGCGCCAGTCTGATCCAAGCATCCGGTCTGTAGCGGTGGAACCGGAGAACCGGCTGTCGATGATGCGGAAGCCTGAGGCCAGCTCTGTCCCATCTCTTGTTACGGCATTAAGTGTCCCAACGCTCCCACCTCCTAAAAGCCATGCAGTTGGGGCCTTAAATGCTCGGTCAGCGAGTAGCCCCGTGCCTGGGTCATCTTCTCAGTTCATCCATCAGAAATCCTCCCTAGAACACATGACCAGCATGCACTACCCTCCAATCCTGGTCACCAACAGCCATGGGGCTTCGATCAACTACGCGGACCCATACCCCAAATACGAATCTTTGGGAGACCACGGCTATTATTCTATGCTCAACGACTTTTCCAGTTTGAACATTAGCAACACAGATTATTATGGAGTTGATCTAGACCAAGATGTCTACTCAAGAAATTCAAGTCCGTGTCCTGACAGTTGCTTAAGCCATGCAAGTAATGACTCTTACTCTTCGTATACCGACCTGTACCTGGGTGTAGGAGATGTGGGTTCAGAGGATCACGCTAAAGTTCCTCGAATTCCACCGCAAAACCGACTTCAGCCTTTTTCTCATGGCTATCACGAGAGTTTAACTAGAGTTCAGAGCTACGGCACTGAAAGGTCCAAACATACTCCACACAAGCATTCAGCTTCTCATTTAGCACTACATGTCCAACACCCTCTTGTTGGGGCACGATCCAGTTGCCCAGGAGACTACCCAGGGCCTCCAAATGTTCACCCATCATCAGCCACGGCCCAACCGAGCCGTGCACTAGTTATGACAAGGATGGATAGTGTTTCTGATTCAAGACTTTACGAAAGCAACCCTACTCGGCAGAGGAGGCCCCCACTCTGTCGAGAGCAACACGCCAGCTGGGATCCGTTACCATGTGCAACTGATGCCTACTCTTACCATTCCTATCCCTTGAGCAACAACCTCATGCAGCCGTGTTATGAGCCCGTCATGGTGAGGAGCATGCCTGAGAAGATGGAACAACTCTGGCGTAACCCTTGGATTGGGGTTTGTGGGGAGCCCCAAGAACCATGTGTTATCCCAGAGCATCAGTACCAGACCTATAAGAACCTCTGTAATATTTTTCCTGCTGGCGTCGTCTTGTCTGTGATGGAGAAGAATCCACACATGACTGATGCACAACAGTTGGCAGCTATGATTGTTGCCAAATTGAGAACAGGACGTTAGCATGGTATCCCTTTGGATTCTTGGAGAGAAATACTGACTACACCAGACCAGCATCCTGCAGGAGGTACCCGTGATCCTATAGAGATATTCTCTGTTTTGGGAATAGTTTCACGCTGTGGTATACCATTCTGTACATTGTTTTGGCATTTGCACTGAATATGTGGTTGAAGAATTCTGTAAAAAGCAGATTGTATTATAAGTAAGTATTAAATAATTTTTTAAAGCTGGGATTTTTTTAAAAAAAGGTGTATTTTACAGGAAGTGCATACTTTTTGCATGGATATATATTGTTTCTTGAATCCAAAAGGTCCTATGTTTGAAGTGAGTCCCTCAAACTTATTAGCAATTATATTGCATGAGTGAATTTTGTAGTTTCCAGTGTTAACTGACAAGGTGCTCCAAGGAAAATGTGCTGTGTACATTTGAACATCCTCACACACTGAAGGTTGGCCTGTTCTGGTCCATCTCTTTCCAAGAGCTTCTCCGAGGCCCCATCAGTTGCTGTGTCTTAGTGGTTCATGGTGAGCATTTCTGATCTGAACAACTCCCAGTGCTCTAGCAACTTAGGTTTGTCCTCACTGGAGAAATCTTTACTCTCCAAGTGAGGAGAATAGAAACACAGATGGGGGGGGGGCTCATTGCATGGATGCACAACTAATGGGGTGCTTTGGATTTGGGGGGAGGTCTTTTAGATCATGCCCTTTGGGACAAGGCCATCCATGCAATTCTCAGATAAATCTTAACCGTCCCATTTCCATATAAATCTTGTTAAAATTGGCAGGTGCGGGTTTTAAAATACGATTAATTGTACAATTCAGTTCTTTACAATCCAAAGGTGGTATAATTGTAGCATCGCAGATCAAATTTCACATTTCAGTTTAGCCCAAGTACAACTAAGTACAAAATGAGTAAACACGTTTTTTAAAAAAGATTAAATGTTGATTATAAAAGTCGATGCTATACAATTGATAAACTTGTTTCAATTTTTCACTTTGGGATCCATGCAAAGGTATGCATTTGCTTCTTTGGAGCTGTTTGACTGGCTCAAATCATCTCAGCAAATGTTGGGTATTTTTGCTCAAGAACGGGCAACTTTTGTAGCTAAATGTCTCCCCTAAGAGACATTTATCCAGGTGTAGTAGCTTTTCCATTTTCTTTTTTTAAAGCTGCACTGAGTGGACACCCTTTTTAAATCCAAATATGTCTTTGAACATTTTGAACCATTACTAACTCGATATGTCTCGAGCTAGGACTTGTTGACTTCTACTGTAGTTTTTTTCATGAAAGTCGAGAAGGCCGAGTTACTGGCCTTTGGTTTCTTCATGAGAAGGTGTGACACTGCCTAAATGTTTCTGACTAGGAAACACATGGAACGCGAGGCTGCCGTCAGGGTTGTTTCTGGTGTTTTGAGAATGGCTTCCAAGCTGCTTTCTGAATTTTTGTTTTCAGACCCAGGGGATTGGGGTGTGAGGGATAGTCCAAAGGGTGTTTCATGTTGCTGGAATAATTCCCAGTAATGCCCAGAATGTCTGCTTTATTTTTGTTTGGCATCATATAGGATATTCAAAGTGGATCTAGACAGGGGTGACATCACTAACCGGCAGGGTGGTGATTCTATCTTGGGATCCACAATAAGCATAATTGTGCAATGATACTAACAAGAAAGAACTTGTTTAGATTATTGAGATTCTGCTGAATATATTAAAGAAGGCTGCCTAGGGGTAGCATCTCTCCAGAGTAGTGTTTCTCAACCTGGGCGACTTCTAAAAAGTGTGGATTTCAACTCTGAGAATTCCCCAGCCAATATGAATTCTGGGAGTTGAAATCCATTCGTCTTAAAATTGCTAAGTCTGAGAAACAGTGCTCTAAAGAGAAGATTGACAGTAATTCATCTTAACAACTTTCCAACCACAAGAGACTATGTCACCTGCCTGTAGCATGTTTGGTCTTCCACAAGGCTGCCTTCTGATTTTAAAGACAAGCCTGTAGGAAAATGGTGGTGGATCATCTGACATGACCCCTGCATTTGTCATGGTACAGCTTTTTTCAAATTGCTGCTGGCACACTGTGGCTTTGTCTGTTGTGGCTGCTGATTAGATTGAGTTTGGATGGTGCACCATGCTTTTATCCAGTGCTTTTAAGAAGCACCAAAGAAAAATGCAGATTAGCCCTTTGGTTAATCTGCCCTGAATATTCTTCGCGATATTTGGCCCTTTAGTTCTAGAAAAGCCCAACAACCTTGAGTTATCTAGACCCTTTTATCAATGAGGACAAAACCCACTTTTTTGGGGGGGGGATATTTCTTCTCTTTTAAAAGTAGCTGAGAGCAACACCTCAAATAACCAGAAACGACTTTTTGTTTGTTGATACAAATTGTATCTTTCTTGATTGTATAAAACATGTATAAAAGCCATCTCTAGATTAGCTCAATATTGTATTTTCATCACTATGTTTGTGACACTGTGTGTCAAAGGGGAGTAGCTCATGGAGGATTATAAATCTTTTTATTTAAAATGGGCACTTAACAATTTATAGGAAAAAAAAGGCAAATTTTGAATTCCATTTTATTACTATAATGCGCACCGCTAGTGTGTGTACATTTAAGAGCATTATGCTGCATAAATTATATATTGTCTATTTATTAATACATTCTTGCAGAGAATTTTTTGGTAAAATACTCATGCTAATAAGGCTTATATTCATATTTATACATGGCTATTGATAGTCAAGTGCTATATATCCCGCTTTTGTTTTTAACAGGATCATTATAAAAGTATGGCTTTTCAGTTCAGTGTTGAAATTTTGTGTGCTCATATTTTTTTTGCATGGAATCCAGTTTCTATATGCATAAAATAGATGTTTTCCATTTTATCTCTATTATAAGATAATCTTGCAGACAACTGTAGCAGAATCTTTCAGCACACCAAATGCTGAACAAAAGCTACTGTTTTTTTTAAATTAAGGATGAAAATATTTTACTGTCAGTAAAAGCTATATATTATATACTATATATTAGGAATATATTAAAAATGTTATAAGTCTCTTGTGTGCTTTTTTGGGAAGTAATGCTATGGAGAATAAGTGGTGTACTATCAGTAGCACCTCTTTTCCTCAAGGAAGGAATTAATTTTTTTGTAAAAAATGATTTTAAAACCTAATCTGTAAAAGCAAGGAGTGAATGGCAATTTTATAATAGCGTCTGGTTTTTTTGCTGCTAATTATTTTTCTCTGGAACTGTTGTAGCATTTGTTAAATCAATATACTTCTTTCTGTCTGGATTTTTCAATACCAGTTCCAAACTGACATTTCACTGCCTTCATCTCTCAATGCTAAATTTCTTCTTATACAGAAGGGATGGTATATATATATATATTTAAAAAAAACTGCCTATACTGTAAATACACTTTGCTTTTAAATGCTCTTTTTGAGAGCACAGTATTTATTTATTTATTAATTTGTGTATCAGATAGCTATAGTATCTCTGTCTATCTTGAAAAACTAGAAAACCCCATCCTATAAAGTATTTATTTGCATTTGAATTTTCTGTAATATATTGTTATATCAATGCTTAATACTGTTTGCTTAACTACTGAGAACTGGGATAGATGAAATAATTTTGAAATGTGAGCTTCAGTGATTATGTAAATATTTAGTAATCCTTTTTTGCTTGTATAGCTTCTAACTACTGTTAGACCCTCTGTAGTATTTACAGTAGTGTACATTTTTCATTGATAGAATTTAACATTACTCTTTAATTGTTCCAAAAAATATATTAAAAAAATCTTTGGGTTTTTTTCTGTTGACCCAAATATAAGGTAAGTCTCAATGACAAAGAATGAAGATCTACTTTAATTGCCCTGATCCAATAAGACAGGGGTGGACAACTATGGCAACTTTATGACCTGTGGACTTCAACTCCCAGAGTTCCTAAGCCAGGCTGGCTTAGGAATTCTGGGAGTTGAAGTCCACAGGTCATAAAGTTGCCCATCCCTGCAGTGAGAGGTGTGACAATGACTTTCATAAATGCAAGGAGCAGACAGTACATCGCAAGTGGTAGCCTCTCAACCCCTTCTTTGGATAGCAGAATAAGGGAAAAGGAACGTAGGCACCAGGAAATGTCACTAGCTCTGGGTTAGGGCTGGCATGCACGTCTTGTAAATACTATAAACTGCAGTGCTTATTTATATCTGTAGCTGCATGTAAGCATTAATGGGCAAGGCCTTTCTTTTTGAGAAAGCATGCTTTTCAACTGAAATGGCCAAGCTCCAGAAGGGAGAGACCCCCGTTTTTTTATTTACGAGACAGTTCACGCTTTTGCATATTGCATTGACATATATTTGCAGGCGGTTGGTTGCAAATATCCCTTTATCAAACCAGTGATGTTCCTAGCTTGGCCTTAAATTATCTTGGTTGCTTTCTGGTGGTCACTGACCACAGAGCAAATACACTTGTCATTGTGTTAATTGTCTCTCCCCTCTACCAGTAGCATCCGTCTTTATACAGACCTACTTGAAAGAGGAACAGTTTTTGTGGCACTGTTCTGAGCTGCCAAATAAGGGTGAGAAAACAGTATACTTATTGAATGCTTAGCACACTGGACTTGTTAGAAGACTTGCCCAGTGGTGCCCTCTAGTTAGTTAATAAGTTAAACTACCTTGTATGGCTTTGCAAGAATCATAACCAATCTTAGAACAAACAGCTGTTTGTTGTTGGATGGTGTTTCTTTTTTTATCCTCTTTCATAGGCTGCTACTTCTCCATGGATGCACTTTGTTCTTGCAGTCCTTGAGGATGCTAACAATTTACTTAACCTGCTTACCATTCTAACATGCTTGATCCTTTGGTTTCTAGGGACCAGTCTAGGTAAGAATGATTATTCAATCCTTATCTTAGGACTTTTCCCTACCGTTGTTGGAATAGTTCCAATTTCTGTGTAACACTCTTTGTAGAGATGCTTTATAATAAATACGTAATTATAAATAATTAATGTGTATTCAATAAACGATCCACTCAGACTCTGAAACAACTTCTTTGTTTCCTCTGTAAAAAACAAGTCCCACTTGTGATTTCATAGATGTCTTCACAATAAGCTTACATGTGTTCCGAAGTCCAGATCCGGAACAAATAAAGAGCAAGTATATATTTTAAAATTGTTTTTTAAAAACCTTAAGGGAACCTAAACATAGCAACAATGATATACCATATGACTCACATGCTTTTTTAAATAAAAAACACACACTATCTATTAAAAATATTAAAACATTTAATTATTTTTTAAAAATACAAAAATGAATTTTAGCAATGGGCAGATCTGTTGTGTGGATTAAGTGTGCCTGCTTCTCCACAGCCCTTAAATGTCCAGGGGGAATATCTATGATGGAGAAGTAGCTGCATTGCACCAAAAAGAACTTTCAAAGAGCAGGCAGGCACAGTATTGTTCCTTGAGTGGCAAGGAAAACCTCCCATTGTGTTATATCATTAATAAAGAATCTCCTGCTCAAAAATGCTGAATCCCACTCTTTAATTTATGAAGCTCGCTCTGGGTCCATATGAGTCCTGACGTAAGGAAACCAGACCATTCTGGTGAGCTGTAGGAAAAAGAACGGGACAACAATTAGGTGAAAGAACCACGGCACACAATTACTTTACCAAGTGTGATTGCATCATGTGGCAAAAACTGGGGGAAGGTATCCCCATCTCGTCCAGGAAAGGCACATGAAATATAATGGAACTGACCCATTCTGAGCTTCTTTATGTCAGCTGGTGCTCCATTCAAAATCCAAGAAAGAAATACTTAGACTCCTTTAATCAGAGAAAAGATACCTTTTACTGGAAATCAAGTGGTAGCAACAAAAGAATTCTGAATCTGAGAAAATGGGCACGTAAATCACATATACAAAGTAATGGCAACGTTCCCACACCCAATAGTTCAAATGGTTCATCCAATTAAAAGTTGTGTATATCATCATGTGGGCATCTCCAGGTGGTGGTGAGGCTTCTGTCCGTTGACCTTGACATAGTTTGATAAAGGGTTGCAGCTGCGCAGAGCATAGGATAGAAACCTAAGCAAGAATGCACCCCAGTTTATACAGTTCTGGTTTGTAACACCTCCAGCTCACTTCCCAGAACCATTCTCTCTTATTTCGTTCAGACTGAAACAAGGGGAGCCATCCAAGCCTGATCAAGGCCTGAATTTGACTGGACAACAATTGCAAATAGACATAGTTTATTTTGGCATTGTGAGTTCCAAATAAATCAATAATTTATCAGAACCAATTTATGCACATTTTATTTTTAATAATGATTTTTTAATTTTTTGTTGTATGCTGCCAAAGTCATGTTTCAGTTGGACAGATCTATAAATGTTTATGATCAATCCATCGATCATTCAAATCACATTGGAATCCAGAGAAATTAAATAATTTGTAGTTTGGCACCCTGGGAGTCAGTTTGGCAACTAACTCATGGAATAGTGCAAGAACAAAATGAGCAATGTAATTACAGAAGCTCGCTCTTCCAATTATTACAATCACTTCCCCTTCAATTATTTCTTCCAGATTCTGAGATTTTAGCAGCTGGTCAAAGCTTTGTGTGTATTGACATACAATGTAAATGCTACAAACTTCCTTTAAAAAAAAGGTAATTTATTGTTCCATAAAACAATTGTCTACCTTAATTTGGTACAGGTAGTCCTCGATCTATGACCACAACGGAGCCCAAAATTTATGTTGTTATGTAAGACATTTATTAAGTGAGTTTTGTCCCATTTTATGACCTTTCTTGTCACAGTTGTTAAGTGAATCACTGCTGTTGATATGTTAATAACCTGGTTGTTAAGTGAATCTAGCTTCCCCATTGACTTTGCTTGTCAGAAGGTCTCAAAAGGGGGTTACATGACCTCAGGACACAGCAACGATCATAAAATATGAACCAACTGCTAATCATCTTAATTTTGATCACATGATTATGGAGATACCGCAATGATCGTAAGGGTGAAAAATGGTCCTGTCATTTTTTCCAGTGCCATTGTAACTCTGAATGGTCACTTAATGAACTGTTGAAAGTCAAGGACTACTTATGTGCTAACTTTGGCTTAGAAATTACACAGTTCTCAAAATAATTTACTACTTTCCATACTGGCCGCCCACCTACTTGTTATGCTTCAAAATTTAATTTTCATACTAAAACAGTAATCTTGTAATAATTTAAACTCCTCCAACAAAGAATTCTGATTGTCTAAGATCTGATCTTAAGAATTCAAGCCTTTTTACATATTACTGATGTTCTTCACCTGACATTGTCCCCCTTAACTACTAGTACTCTGTGAAATCCAAACCAACATTCAATAATAGTCTAGCCAGATTTGATGTCAGGGTGGAATACAGGTAGTCCTCAACTTTTATGTCCACAACTGAGCACAAAATTTCCACTGCTAAGTTTTTAAGTGAGTTTTGCTCCATTTTACGATCTTTATTACCACAGTTGTTAAAGGAATCAATGAGGTTGTTAAGCTAGCAACATGGTTGTTCAGTGAATCTGGCTTTCTCATTGACTGTGTCAGAAGGTTGCAAAAGATGACCCAGGACACTGCAACTGTCATAAATATAAACCAGTTGCCAGGCATTTGAATTTTAAGCACGTGACCATGGGGATGGTGCAGTGGTGGTTGTAAGTGTGAAAAAGGGTCATAAGTCACTTTTTTCATCACTTTTGTGAAACTTTGGTCACTAAACAAATGGTTGTAAGTCAAGGACTACCTGTACAGACATAACAAGGTGTCTTGATGTAACCAACACGAGATGTTACACAAAATGAACTTCATACTCTGGAGAATAAGTGGTGCAGAGAAAAAGAGGTAACATTACAATGGCCCTGCTCTGAACTTTAGAATGGGCAAAGCCTTATGAATGAAATGTTTATGCCTATTCTAAAAATTTCGCTGTCCAACATCAATTTCTCCCAGAAAGCAGATGCATCATGTACGCCGATCAAGTTCTTCCTCTATGGCTTGTGAAAGCCGACAGGGAAAACAGACGCAAACCCGTCCGTTTCTGTCTCTGCCCTTCAGCAACAGGTGCAAACTCCAGGACTAAGAATACCTGACAGGAGACACACACAGCCCCGCCCGCTCAGAAGGAAATCTGCTCTCTGAGCATGATTTCCAAGTCAGAATAACCTCCTTTTCTTACAAGCCATACTTCCACCATGAGGCAAGTGCGCTTCTGCTTGTTTGCGAGAGCAAATGCTGCTAAGGATTCAAATAAAACCTCAAAGCAGATGACAGTGAACGGAAAGAAGACAAACAGAACAAACAGAATCTCATCTGAAACCAGTTCAGAGAAAATTCCTTTATATCTATATATAGCAATAGCATTTAGGCTTAAACAGGTAGTCCTCGACTTACAATCACAACAGAGCCCAAAATTTCTGTTGCTAAGAGACATTTGTTAAGTAAGTTTTGCTCCATTTTATGACCTTTCTTGCCACAATTGTTAAGTGAATCACTGCAGTTCTTAAGTTAGTAACACAGTTGTTGTGAATCTGACTTCTCCATTGACTTTGCTTGTCAGAAAGTCTCAAAAGGTAATTACATAACCTTGTGATACTGCAATTGTAATAAATATGCGTCAATTGCCAAGTGTCTGGATTTTGATCATGTGACCATGGGGATACTGCAATGGGCAAAGTATGAAAAGGGGTCATAAGTCACTTTTTCAGTGCTATTGTAACTTTGAAGGGTCACTAAATGAACCATTGTAAGTCAAGAACTATCTGAACTTCTAACCGAGGAGCTCAGAACATAATTATATTTTTCCCTTTTTATTTTAATAGTAGCCCTTAGAGGCATCTCAAATTGAGAGGAGCAGGCAAGAGAGGCCAACCACCCCAAAGCCTTCCTCATTAATCCTTACTAAGACTGGACTAGCCTCCCTCTTCCTTTTTCCATGAGGTGTAACATTAACTCTTCTCCAACAATAGAAATTTCCCCAATCTCTAGGGAAATACTCACACATTGTTGGGGGAATATTTCCTGTCTCCATTCTCCAGTTGGTCAAGAGCCGACATCATGGTATAGTTATCCACTAACAGGGTATCGGGATCATCCGTTTGGCCAGGTAGTTTTCCCAGAGGAAAATTTCTCCATTTCAGTTCATCTGTGGGGGAGGGGAGGAGGGAATGGATGGAGCTTAGCAAGATCAAGCATAGCCAATGATGGATAGAGCTCACTCAGGAAGTCATAGGAGCTGAGTTCAAACACTGCACTGAGCCAAAAGGGGACAATCTACAGCAGGAGTGTCCAATCTTGGCAACTTTTAGACCTGTGAACTTCAACTCTCAGAATGCTCTGATACCATTGGAAATTGAGGAAGGTTGGCTTTCTGAAACGGTCCCATCTTGGAACCAAACCTTTTCAATCTAATCCATGGTGTGGCCTAGTTGGAAGGACAGACGGAGTCACAGCCATCCGAACATGATGTTCCATATGACAGGTCCTCAGCAGAGAAGCTGGGGTCCCCCCTGGGTCCCACTAGGCGACTTATTTGAGAGATGGTAATAAACCATGCCAACTCTGCTGGATATTACAGAAAAAGCAGAGACAGTTGGAAAAAGGAGGTCCTACAGGTAATCTAATTGGGGATAGGCCTGAACGGATAGGTTTTCTACATATTGTTAGAAGCATGGGTTATCAACAGCAGGCTGTTCACCACCTGGGAAACCTAAACGTCTAACTGCCTGAGAGATATAACAATATGAAGTTATCAATTCCACACCCCCAAGCTCCCTTTGTCCAATAGTAACTTAGATATCTTGGAGCAGGTGTGTCAAACTTTATTTCATTGAGGGCTGCATCAGGGTTGTGATTGACCTTGGAGGGCCGGGGGGGGGGGGGGGGGGGGCCGGGGGGGGCTGGCCAGGGGGGGCGTGACAGCACTCTGCCAGCCAAAACGTGGCACAGGGGTTAATTACAAAATGTGGGCTTTGCTTTGTGACATCCAGATCCAGCAAGCAAAGGGTGTGAACTGCACAGAAAATACACTTCTGTTTGGTTATGAAGAAATATCCTCAAAATCAAATGTAGACTGACTTTTAGTTACACCCTTCCCAGCAAACAGCAAATTTTGAAGCTCCAAGTAAAGAGGATTCATTTTAGGATGAGTAACCACAGTTTGTATGTTGGAGGTTCCTAAAGGAATGCTGGGAAACTCTGTATTTTAAAGAACATTTGAGGGAGGGCCTTTCTCTGCCAGAGGCTGTAGAGACCTGGCACCAATCAAAACATTGTTTGTGAAGCAACTGACAGGGTAAGCTACTAGTATATGAAAATAAGAGCAAACTCCACTCCCTTCTAATACTTAAGATGTTACCCAGTTTGGTAATAAAACATCTGCAAGAAAACCATCAAGCTTAGAGAGCACCAAGGACCCCACAGTTCAACCCTGAGCTACAAATATTCTTTTCTATTGATAAACACTTTTTGATTAGAGGGACTCAGACCCAGCCTCATACGAGATGGCTCCCAGTGGATTTCATTCTAAATTTTGATATGATTTCTGTAAATAAGGAATGTAGAATTATAATGGCTGAGCATTTGATCCTCATACATCAAAAAAACGCAAAGCTAAGGGATAAACAAATAAAAACCAGATTTGAAAAAAGAAAAGGCTCAGGAAAGAAAAAGAGAAAGTGTAAGAAAGAAAGAGGAAAAGAAGGAAAACCAAAAAAGAATGAATTCCAAGTTTCTTTGGTACAGATATAAGTAAGTAAGTGTGTGTGTGTGTATTTGTTTTCTTAAGTTTTCGCGGGTACTTACATTTATGGCATTCAGCTTTGTTTGGGTATTTTCCCACGTCATTGTAGTTGTGCTTTTAAAGTTGTAGCAACGTTTC